CACTCCTTTCCCGTAGGCAAACGTTAGACATCAAGCTACAATGGCCGCCGTTTTCAAGACCTTCGCCCTTGCATTTCTGCTCATCCAAGGAGCTCAAAGGTGAGCATACTCGCTCTATGGCCCCTTACCTTCTACAGAATGACGAGGGCTGACGAAATCCACCAATAGCAAGGACCACAGCAGTCATAATTGCTGCCTTTTGACCGCAGAAGGATGGATTCCTAGAAATGATTGGACGAAGGCGGTCTGTGAGGAGCGCTGGGGATCGGTAGTGAGTATCTCTAATCACTTGACGTGACTTCAAAGGCTAAGAATACCAACAGGCTACCTTTGACGGCGTCAAGTGCATACAGAAGCCCGGCAACGTGATCAGTGGTGACGACTTCTTCACTGCGTGTAAGCTTTATGGGTACATCAATGGTTACCAACAATGGGAGAGGGGTGCTGGATACCGTGGCACTTGCTCTTGATATGTGCATACGTGGAGTTGCTATAGTAATCTTGGAATTGTCGCAAACTATTTTCAGCGAGAGCCTGCACCTGATCTGCTACCAATTGCTGAGAGGCCTGCATTGATACTGTTTCCCCCAAACTGCGGCTTGCGTGACCTGACGGACATCATGCACTCGAATGTGGAATCAGGCCATGCGACATGAATTCGCTGCTACTTTGAGTTATTTTATGGCTGGCTCGTGTGCCTCCTGTTGAAGAAGACATCTCGCATAGGAATGAGAGGATGAGATAAGCTTTGCATCCTGCCACCCCGCATGAGCGTTTTCCTCTTGTTATTGGAAAGTAGGAGTTTGATCACCTGGCTTCAAGGGAGGCTTGTCTAAGAGCTCAAAAATGTTATACGGAGTAATAACGCGCACTCAGCTGCTCGAGATGAGTTCACTCAAGAGTGGACCCGGCTTTTCGCTTCCCAGAGTTAAGGTTTGCTCTGATGGGACCCGTCACTGACAAGGCGGGCAGTGCCTTCTACCAGATACTTGCACGGTTGTTATGAAAAGAGTTAGAAACTGGAGCGTCACTTCTAGATATGAAAAGACCGAGTCTGATAAGTGTTCATGTGCTTGACATCCTTGCGGTCTATTGTCTGTCTTGAGTATAAGTCAATAAGGGGCTGAATGACGTAGTTAGGGCAGTGGGCAGCGACTCATCGAGGATTGAGGCCAATGGCACAGTGGGCAACGATGCTGAAATTCTGCAAAGAGGGATGGTCGTCAGTGCAATTCATGTTGGGAATGAGCCCAGCTCAGAGGCGGTGGGATACTTCGTTTTGTAAGTAGTGCGATTCGTTGTATGGCGGATTTCCACTCGACCACGGACTCTCTTTCCTGAACAACAATTACCTGCTGAACGCGACTCAAGGACACTCGAAATTTGCATCTGTGGCACGCATTGAAAGAAGGGTGGTTGAAACAATGATTTAGAGTAGTTCTTCCTCAATGATTCTTAGCAAGGGGTTGCTTGCATGTTGGCCTCTGCCATGCCGCAGGGAAATTTGAGGCATAATTTTAAGTTCAAGTTAGCGGCGCCGCAATGCGCTTGCGATGCCTTACAGGCTACAGCGTACGCTGTACGAAGTGCAGCTATAGGAGCTTAAGGGAAACCAAATTCGACTTCTACTGTAGTATTGATCAGAGGATTGGGGAATTTTCGATATTTGATTGTGTGAAGAATCATTCGACGTTGTTGGGTTGAGCGCTGTCGAGAAGCTCCGAAACGCGCTACGTGGCACTAGCACGATCTACCGCGTGGCGTCTCTGCGCACGTCCCGACGCGATGGATCTCGAGCTAGATTCGACGTCCATCACCGTTGCGAGGGAGGCGGTGGCAGCGAGCGACGAGGACCTGCCATCACGAAGGGTGCGAAAGCCATCCGCGAAAGCCCAACTGAACCAGACTCATCAAGAGATAATCGACAATGCGACCGACGGAGCGACGGAGGTTGCTGGTGGTGGCCGGCGGACGACGACCAAGCGAGCCACAACCCTGGCCAAGGAACGCGCGAAACCCATAGAGGATGACGACAAAAGGCTGCTCCTGACGATGGGCAAGCAGGTCAAAGAGCTACACACAGCGGTCAAGATCATGTTCGATGCGTGGAAGAAGTCGGAAGCACGGAATAAAAACGTTGAGGCAGAGCTTCGCGTGGTCACTTCGGAGCTGCAAACAGTCAAGAGCGAGCTACAGGCCGTCAAAGGAGAGCTGCAAGCGATGAAAGAACGCGTGGAGGACGAAAGCGCCAAGACGAACGAAAACCTCGAAGCACTCGCAACAGTTGCTGCGACGCGGAACAGCCCAAGTGTGTCCTACGCGGACGTCGCGCGAAGCGGCTTAGGTGGGCAAGGTCGCGACTCGCGGGTAGCCACGGCGGGCAACGCGACGCTGCCGAGCCGCAGCGACCCCTTCTGTACGATCGATACATCAAGAGTTGAAGAAGGCAGCGACAAGCTCAACCCAGGCCGGATCCGGGCTGCGGTGGAAAAGGAGATGCGCGCGTTGGACGGACAGGGTAGCTGGCGGTGTCTGGCCGTCACGGTAGACCCAAGGAACGCGGATAGGATCCGGATCATTTGTCGCGACGATGCAGAGCATAAGCTTGTCAAGCAGATTGTGGAAAAGAGCTTCGGCTCCGGAACACGCGTGCTACGAGACGAGCTCTACCCCGTGAAGGTAGATAATGTAAAGCGAACTGAGATCCTGGATGAGAAGGGCAATGTCAGGGCTGAAGCGGCGGAGGCACTTAGCCGAGAAAACGAGACCACGGTTGCCAAGATTTCCTGGCTTAGCAAGAAAGATATGCCCAAGGCGTATGGGTCCATGGTCGTGTTCGTGACCAAGGCCGGTGATGCGCGTAGACTGATCTCCGAGGGCTTCTTCCACGTTGGAGGAGAGTCCGGCACGACGATGGCGTTTGAACGGCGGCCGCGCCCCCAGCAGTGCTACAACTGCCAGCAGATCACGAAGCACAAGGCGTACCAGTGCGTAAACCCCCGGGTGTGTGGACGATGCGCCAAGGTAGGCCATCACCACTCTGAGTGCCGTGAGACGATCGTGACATGTGTGCCTTGTGGCGGACCGCACGAGTCGTTCAGCAAGAACTGTCCGAAGCTGTACCCGCGTTCCCATGAGTAGGAAGGTCCAGATCCTTCAGCTCAAACGTGAGGAAACAGGCTGCAGTGCACGAAAGTCTGATGAATGACGAGGCGTTGCGCGACTTCACGGCCATAGCGGTGCAGGAGCCATGGGCGCGGAGGATAGAAAGGTAAGGTCATTACTGTTCCGATGGGACATAACAGTGGACGGATGGTGCCGACGGATGGAGGACAAGGAGATGGGATTAAGAAGTTTGTTTGGGTAACAGAGAAGTAGAGGCGAACAGTGCCGATAGCGTCCTCGGATATCACTGCGGCCATCGTCCGGCTTCCGGATCGAAGACTGATAGTGGCGTCGGTGTACGTGCCGGTGCAGAGGCCGGAGATGCTGCGGCAGGCGTGCGACCTGCTGAGACAAGCTATCACGAATGTCCGAGGAGGAACAGGGGAGAGGGTGGACGTGGTTCTGGTAGGAGACTTCAACTGCCACGACTACCTGTGGGGAGGTGACGATGTGTCGGAGGGCCGGCAGGGCGAGGCGGACCCGATCATCGATCTAATGAGCGAGTACTCGCTCCGCAGCCTCCTTCCGCGTGGCACGAAGACGTGGGAGAAGAACGATGCGGCAACGACGATCGACCTATCCCTCGCGTCCGAAGAGCTAGCAAGAACGGTGGTACGATGCGGCCTGCACGAGACGGACCACGGGTCGGACCACCGGGCGATCGAGACGACCTTCGACATCGCCGCGCCTGAGATGGAAAGCCGGCCACGGCTCCTCCTCAAGAACGCCCATGGAAGCAAA